CTATCAAAACTGGTCCAGTTTTTTTCCCGGTCCAATCCGATTTTTACTGGATTTAGAACCTGTTGGACCCGATTTAAAAAAAGTGTAATCTGTGAAAATTTTTAAATAACCATAACTAATTCGTTTTAAGTAGGATTGACACGCGGTTTTTTCCAACGTTTAATTTATAATTTGTAGATGAATTTAGACTATAATTTTATTAATTTTGATATTATATTCAATGAGTTACAGTCTTTAAAAGCTGAGCTATCAAAACTAAAAAATTTCAGCTTTTCAGCAACATTTTTAAAATTTTGCAATCTGTGAGAAATTTTAAACAACCATAACTCATTCGTTTTAAGTCGGATTGACACACGGTTTTTTTCAACGTTTAATTTACAGTTTGTGGATGAACTTAGACTATAATTTTGTTGATTTTGGCATTATGTTCAATGAGTTACAATGTTTCAAAGTTGAGCTATCAAAGCTGGAAAATTTCAGCTTTTCAGCAAGATTTTTAAAATTTTGTAATCTGTGAAAATTTTTAAACAACCATAACTCATTTGTTTTAAGTCGGATTAACCTACGGTTTTTTCCAACATTTAGTTTACAGTTTGTAGATGAATTTAGACTATAATTTTGTTGATTTTGATATTATATTCAGTGAGTTACAATCCTTCAAAGTTGAGCTATCAAAGCTGAAATATTTCAACTTTTTAACTATTATTTTAGACTACAATTCTGAATTTTATGTATCTTTGACAGATAAATCATATGAAAGGGATCTTAGTGAACTTGATTTATATGTTAGTTGCTTTGATTTGGAAAATTAATTTTGCAAGTTATAATATTATAACATCAAGGTAGATTAGTTATGCATGAGACAAAAACGTAATCATTTTTACAAGTTGTATCGTATCAAACCCAATGATATATTCGTTTTAACAAGTTTTATCAAACCCAAAAACTTATTTTAACGACTTGTACTCTATGCAATTAAAGTTGCACCGGTCCAAACAGATCCAATAACCGGAAAATCCGAACATCGACATGGACACGACTCATCTGGTCCGGTCAACGGTCCATAATATTTTCCATAACTGTCCGGTCCAAGAGCCGGTCCGGTCCGGCTCGGTCCAAATGTTCATCCCTACATCTCATCCTCTCCATCTAGTGTTGTGTTTCTTGCTTCTACCAAGATAGCATATCGGTTTTGCTTGGTTTGGAGAGTCTCGAAGAACCGTCTTTAGCTGTTGTATCTTGAAAAACAAATGTCCAACAATCGGATGAATTTGTTTTAAAAACATTATGTTAAATGCTAGCTTAACAAATTCTAATTACTTGTTTGTTTCTTTATATTTTTGTAATATAATTCATACAAATATATTGGTTATGTTGTTTATTTTATACCAGTCAGTTTTGCTCGTCTCAACCATGCATGGTTATAACAACATTCACTAAATATTATATAAGCATGAGCAAATAAGCAAAAAAAATTACGTATAAAAAAAAAAAAAAAAAACATGTTTATCACAACATTCACTAATATTATATAGTATCATTAATGTAATGTTACGATGTGGTTTTCTTAACATGAGACATAACCATATATTATAAACATTTTGTTACTTTAACGCCTATAAAAATCTAATAGCTTTACCGATCACATATCCTGAATACTTGACTATAATTACATGGGGGGAGGTGCAGGAAAAGGAATGGTAGGGATGTCTGGGATATTGAAAGGAGGCAGATTTGGAAAAGGGAAGCCGGGTATCTTCGGAAAAGGAAAATTTGGAAGTGGGGATTGGAACGGATCTTGAGGAAATAAAGGGAAGTCGAATGAGAATTCCTGAGATGATTCTGTATTCTTGATATCGGATTCATGATCATCCACCACCTTCAAGTTTTGAATATTTGTATCTGTCGGCCCTGATCTTGGAGAAATAAAAGGTCGAGCATAGCCAGAAGAAGAAGAAGATACCAACGTGAAAATGAACATAACATTCAAGATCGTCATCATAGATGAAGAAAGAGAAGCCATGGTGTCAATTTGCTTGTAAAAGGCAAAGGGGAAAAGACTTGCTTATGGTTTTATTAATTATGCAAGCATGTATATACAAATACTATACATGGGTTTTTATAGCGGTTTTCACAAAAAAAGATTTTGAACATTAAATTAAAAGATTGTGCACTTTACTGGTTTAACTTTTTCTTAGACGATGTTAAAAAACATAATACAGTACTTCAATACTTGTAACTTTTACCACCTAATTAAGCTAACTAATAAATGCGTAAGAGTAAGAACCGAAGATACTTTGTTGAACAACCAAATTCAAACTTTCATACATGGGAATGATAGGATATGGCTACTTTCAACAAGTCAAAAGATAAAAATTAATTTGTGACATTAAATTTGTTTGATCACCACCTTTTACTCCGAAAATATTAATGAAGAAGAGACTGAACACAGTTCTATATATTGACCATTTCTGATGGTCGAGAATGATAATCTTCTGAGTGAATCCAAGAATCAAATTGTTTCCTTTCCCAGTGGTTAATTTCTAATATATTTAAAAGAAATATACGATATATAAAGCCAAAACATGTATTTATTGTGATCTAATATAAGTTAGGTAGTGCATACTACATACTTGTATATAAATGAAGGTTTATATTGTGATCTAATATAAGTTAGGTGGAACATACTGTATATAAATCGAGTTTAATCTGGAACACAACGAAAGGTTAGGGTCAAATGGGGTAAATCCCCTTGGCAATGATTCTGCATGTAGGGTTGAGGGACAACTCCCCAAAACCTCTACAAAATTTTGAACTTGTGCAGTGGAAAATATACTTATGATGACGAAAATTTGAAAAATAAATAAGTTTGGGTCTCTCAGGGACAACTCACTATGCCAAATAGCCAGACAACCCAAGTGATCTCTGTCTAGGAAGCTTTAAGTTGTCTGACGGTTTTTCCATATGTTGTTTTCTAATTGCAAGTTCCACAGTGTTTGTTGATGTTATCCAAATTTCGAATATATGCGTGTACATATACTAAAAGTTTGATTTATTGGAATTCTTTTACGAAATCAAACAATCCAAATATACTTTTCAAAAACATATTTTTTTGCTTATAACTTTGAGTGTTTCTCACAATTTATCCAAAGTATATTTGGATTGCACATGTATGGGGATTAATATTAATACGAAAAGTGGCCTTAAACAAGGTTACCAAACCTTGTTTCAACCCCATAAGTTTCTAACACCATCTTCTAAATGAGTTACCATCACTGGTGTTTTGTTTTGGTTTGCTCTCATCTTATCTAAACCTCAAGACCTTCATTAGAATAAGCAAAATCCAAACCAAAAGGACTAAGGAACAAGATGTGTGGTACGATGATGACATTGGGGATGAAACTGGCAACTAATGGTGTTAATCGGCAGTAACATGAACTCGTATTAAAATATGGTCAAAATATGATCGTACACTTTTCCTGATCAATATAATTATGAAATTTATAATTAATTGGGCTTATCTCACATGCAATATTTGGGCCTTTGGTCTCTTATTGTCATCACGAATACGGGTCAGAACTCAGAATATGACAAAAAGTAATATCCGGGCCTCCAGTCTCTCTTGTCTTCAAGAATCTGGGGTCAAAGTATGACAAACAGTTATTGGGAAAAGCCGAAAACTCGTAAACCATATTTTATTTCAAGCCAACCGGTTTTTATTTACTTGCGGGTTTTACCGAACTTCAAAAAGAATATATTTAAATAGATCAAGCTTATATCTGTAGTCTTAAAATTAATAATAATAAAAGTCAACTTTTCTAATGGAAGCATAGCGGTAACCAAACGAATTAAAGTTGGTATGACTAACATAATACATACATACAATACAATAAAATGAATGAGGCCGTATGTTTGACTAATGCAGGTGTTGTCTCTCTTAAGAAAACACCTAAGCTGATTGAAAGAGATGTAATGCCGTCCAAATTCGTATAAAAACAATTTACATGAAATGGGCCTGAGCCTGATGGTGAAAGTAATTATCATAGAAAATCATTTAAGAAAAATACGGAATTGTCGGCAACCATCCATCTATGGATGGTAATGGGGTTGTTCACACATGAAAGCGACTTGGTATTTATATCCATTTTCTAATCGTGGATTGGAGACAGATCATGACGTAAACAAGCCATTCAAATTTAAATACAAGGTCAAATTATATACATCACCAAAACAAAAATAAGGCATCCCTGTCCCTGATATATAACTCAAAAAGACAGAATAAGAATAATAATAATAATAATAATAATGGCTAGATGATGAGCACAATAATGGCCATTCAAGTTGGTTAGGTAACTGAAAAGACGGTATTACCCCTTTGGTGCTATAGCATATGTCAGTGTGGAAGAAAAAAGAATTCAACTTTGTACCAAGATAATGAAAGAAAGAGGTTGGCTTTTGGAGTTTGGCATTTGGCTGTAACCTTATCAAGAACCAAATAAAAGAAAAATTAAAACCGAAAGGGCCATAGCCAGAGAGCCAGAGCCAGAGCCAGTGCCATAATAATAATAATAATAATAATAATAAGAGCACAGAAAATGGCCTTTGCTGCCCATATCTTGAAAAATTAAGTTTTTGGAGCCCACTTCCAGGTTGTACAAAAATGGCAGACAAAACTCAATCAATCAATCGCAACTCCCCAAAACACCATACCATAAATGGGAGGGATTTCCCTTTTTAAATTTAGCCCCCCTCCCCCCCCCCCCCCTAAAATGAAACCATAAACACAACCACCCCCTTCCCTTCCCTTCCCTTCCCTTCAAACACTCTTGAATCTTCTTCATCCCATTTTTAAAACAACAAATGGAAGAGGTGAGCCACAGCCCCACCACCAGTGGGGTCCCACAAACAGACCATATCCACCCCCACCCAACCACCCGTCAGATCACTCACTTTCTTCCTTCCTGGGCCACCGGACATATATCCTATCCCCCCCCCCCCCCCCCCCTTCTTCCTTTCACAGTCAATAAAAAAAAAAATAATAAGTTATTTCAAAGGGTTACTGGTAAGCCATAGTTGAGAAATGATCTGATATGGCCATCCCAGCCTGCTGTAACAATAACTAGACCCCATGCATGACAACCAACAGAGCTCTGGCAAGAAGATTTGAAAAACTTGTATTGAGATTTACATAAACCAGCAGCAGAAGGAGGAGGAGACTGTTGGTGTTGAGTGGAAGTTGGAAGCTTTTCTTCAGGCCAAGTTGCGGATCCTTTTGGAATCGATTCTAGAAAGAACTCGTGACCCAGTGAGAAGTAACTCGGTGAAGAAAATGGCAACAGTGAGCTTCTACTGCTCACTTTCAGACCCGACCATGGCAACACAACCGAGGCGTCGCTCGAAAAGCACTCAAACGACTTAACCGTCTTTTGTTGTTGTTCTTGTGGGTTGCAGTTGTTGTTCCAGACATATATATTGGAATCCTCGCATGCTGACACTATGTGTTTCCCATCTGATGTGAATGATGCACAGAATTGGTTTCCAGCATTTCGTTGCCCTGCTTTGGTTTCAAAAAACAAACCATATTTTTTTTTTTAAAAAAGAAAAAAAAAAAAACATTGATGACTGACTGACTGACTGACTGACTTGTAAATATAGATAGTACAGAAGCAATAAACAGTAAAGATTCTAAGACAAACCCACCCTTGTATTTGCCAATGACGTTGGTCCCGTCAAGAATTCTGACATGGGAATCCGCACAGGTCACCATTACTTTGGTTGAATCTTGTGGACAGAACTACAGATAATAAGATAATATAATGATTACTCGATTATATTATGAGCAGAAAAAAAAAAAAAATATATATATATATATATATATATATATATATATATATATATATATATATATATATATATATATATATAATAAAAGAAATTGCCAAATAAATATCAACCTGAAACCCGATTATCCGTTTGCAACCCGACTTCTTTTTACTATTTAAGCAAACCGAGGCCTCAAGTTGGAAGTGATTATCTGATGCAAGAAAGTTGAGAATGATATCTTTTTAGCAAACCTCAAGCCGGCCCCACAAGAGATACAGACACAACTAACAAAAGGACTTCAATTCGGATACGGTACTAGCAAACACATAGCCACATACATATATTACATATATTTATATATCAATCAATCCATATGAAAACAACCTTACATTCAAGTAAACCCCAATCTTCATATCATCAATCATTGAACCAAAGACAACCCACAAGATTTTTCAAGGAAAGATACAGTAAAGTTATTTAGACTGAGTTTGCCCATTGATCAAGTATATATTTGTTAGAAATAAATTATTGATTATTGAATGTGGTCCACCAAACTCAAACTCCTGCTAAAATGGTATTTTAGACATTTGATTGAGCGTCAACATTGTTACATTAAAGTTGTCGTGGGTATCAAATATCAAAATATGAATGTAGTATGTATGGCATATGGCAAAAACGAAGCAAACCTTACCTGACAAAGTGAAAAGGCGGCAACAGCCTGTCATGGATCCAATAATTCCACCCTAAAATTAAAGATAAAGGAAGGAAAGAAGACGTTTTTATAAATATATATTCAAAATTATTATTATTATTATATATATTTGAAAATTGGAATTTAATTAATTGACAGGAAATTGCCAAACGAAACCAACCTTCCCATCAGGATTGTAGGTGACCGCAGTGATTATTTCTCGTATGTCTGTCCAATCTACAACCTGGGAAGACCCGATTGACCATATCCGAACCTTTCCATCAATTGACCCGCTTATAAAATAACTTTCATCCACAGGGTTGAACTGAACACACGTCACTGCCATTCATATCCTCATATCATGTTTAAAACATTAAAACATAAAAAATAAATAATTACTAATTTGATTTTCTAAACCAACACTCACATACCGTAGTTACTGTGTGGAAACATTTTCAGGCATTCATCCATCCCAACTCTCCACAAACGAACACTCTCATCAACTGATGAAGATAGAAGAAGCTGCAATCATTACCATTACCAATATGTAAAACATCAATCAATCGATCTTTTATTATGAGTAGAGATGGTTGATGAATAATGAATAATTTACTCACGTTATCGTTTGACCATGAAAGATCCAAGACCTCGCCATTGTGGCCATGGAACTCATGAACGGGCTTCTCCAGTATCCGGAACACTTTTGGAGGAACAATAACACAAGCAGAATCCGGACTTCTTCTCAGGTTCTTGAGCATACTCATCTTCTGTTTTTCGGCCATTAAAGGCGCTAATTCAGAAAGATGATTCATGGTGAAGTATAAGCAGGAAGGGTCGATATCAGGAATGTCGATGTCATTTGATCTATCGTCTTCCACAACCTGCCAAACCCTAACAACCCCATCTTCTCCAGCGGTAGCAAGATAACGCCCGTCTTGACTAAATTTCATGGTCAAAATCGAACCTTGATGCGCATGAATATCTTGCCCGATGAAAACAGCCGACAGTTCTTTCAATCGTTTCTTGTTTTGGCGGACTCTCACTCGTTCAACCCTGCTTCTGCGAACCTGACCATCGCCATCACATCTTCCATTTCCACTTCCATGGGGATCGACAACACATGTCATTGACCGTAATCTACTCAACCATTGACTTTTTACTCTGTTCATCGTTCTAGCCATTGTGCCAGCAACCTTGATTTGTCTCTCTACAAGTTTTTGAACCAAAGGAGGCGAATCACTCTCTTTACATTCCCCCTCTTCTTCTTCTTCTTCTTCTTTACATGATTTACCGCAATTAAAATTTTTACCTCTACAAACGAAATCCTCTCTAGAATCGAGAATTCTTGACGAATCGGAAACAGAGGAAGTACTTGAAGACATTTCTTCGTAAATAGGGCTTCTCAACACAGCATCACTAGCCTCCATCATCCTTTTATCAAATCTCCCTGATTCGTCTGATTGAATTTCATCATCCAAGCTTAAACTCAAACTCATATGTTTAAGGAACTGGTTTTTCCGATCTTGAACACTTGTTGGAGTCCTGACCCAAACATCATATTCCGAATCATGGTTAGAAGCAGGAGTAGGAGTGTCGTGAATTTTAGAAACTGAATCAGACACGGATGCAATATTATCTTGGGCATCAAAAAATCGATATTCTTCATCGTCCTGGTTTAAGCTAACCATGGTTCCTTGTGTTCAACCCATGAAACCTAACCTCAACAAACCAACTTTTTAAGCCCTAGGCAATGTGCCTTGTTCCGTCTCCAAGAAACATACCTGGTTAAAAAGATAGAATCAAAGCCTTAAAAAAGAGATATTAATCACGATAACCCAGATCAGCTAAGGATAACTGTCAATAAAAAAATAATAATAGATAAACATATTATTGACAAGGTTTTAAAAAAAATGAACAATTTGTCATGGATCCCAGATCCAACGCCCATCGAACCTGCCTTTAAAACCCCAAAAACAAGTTCATATATTTAAAAGAATCAAAGTCAAAATCCATGTATTGCATTGATAATTGAACCAGGGTATACACTATATAGTACATAGTATAAGCAACCCATTTTGGAGGATGATGACGACAGTGAATACCTCATACTACATAATCATCAAAATCGAAACCGGGATCAAAATTTGAAACTTGCCCTTTGATGCAATCAAGAAAATATGTTACAAGGAGCGAACCAAGAAAGATTTGTTTGTGTGAAACAAAGAAATCGGAGGAAGTGCGGAGATGAATCTGAATGATCGATTTGTGGGAAGCAATAATCAAATACCTTTCTTCTCTCTCAAAGCAAAGGGGAAAGGGAAGAAGGGAGTTAAATCCAAAGGGGAAAGAGGGTAATTGAGGGAAAAAAGAAGGGGGGGAGAAGGAGAAGTGGGAAGAAGAATAAATGAGAAGGATCTTGATATTCGTGAAGGAATGGACCGAGAAACGAGAAATGGAGAGAAGTAGAAGAAGAAGAAGAAGAAGTAGTAGTAGTAAATAGCGTAGGCTGAGAAGGTGAGGGGGTGGTCTGTAAATGTATGTCTGTGGGGAGGGGGTATACCCTACATTTGCGTCGCCTCTTTCTTTTTCTCTCTGTAAAAATACCTCTCCATTGTCTCTGTTGCATTAATTCTGTGCCTTTTTCGGTTTCGATTAAATGGCGCAATCAAAGTTTCAACCTTCCAAAAAATTTTATGGAATTAGATTTAATTTTATCAAGATCTCAACAATTTTACTATGAAGATCACTCTTTTGAATATCATATCTTACCATATTATTTCTGAGTTCTGACAACAAAATAAATTACTTTTTCTGTTTCATTTTATTCGGTGTCTATTAAATAACGAATATATTTCAATATTAATAAGATATAATCGCAAATAGTAAAATTTTCATTAGGTTTTTATTTTATCAATAAAACATCATTGTTAAAAAAAATTAAAAATAAAATAAATTTAAAACTAGCCGAAAACTTACTTATTTTTTATTTAGGGGTTATGATTTAAAAATGTAACAAACTTTTACGATTGTATTTAATCATTAAGTTTCTTTCTATATACCGTTTATTATTCAACTTGTTCAAATTATTCTAAAAATATCAATATGACCGGGTATAGTGGTTTTGACAATCATATTGGTATTATTTGAACAAATTAAATGGTAGATCGCATATAAAAATTTAGTCACGTATAATTGTAAAAGTTGATAACCTTCCAATTTAATAACCATTGACCGTTCTTTTCAATCTAGTCCAACACAAAACATTTTGCAAGGTTTGGATGTGTATTACTAGGGTTGTACTATGGATCAGTGCAAGTTGGACGATCGTTCTGGACCCCAAATGCCAAATAGCCCATTTTATTCTTAGTTGTATTGAGTTAGCCGACTATTTTTAAGCCTGATCCACTTGTTCAAGACCCAGTGCTAATATTATCACACGTTAAAGAGAAATTGAGGAAACGGAGTAAGAAACGTAGTTTCAACAAGTATGCAATGTGAATTCCGATTTCCTAGGCTCATCAACGATTTCTATGGAAGCTTCAACTTCATCGGCAACACTTCCACTTCTCCTAACTCTAGCCAATAATAGTTACTTCGATTTCTCTTTTTATGCGATTTATTGATTTCTTATCACCCTTCTTCATTTTCTGATTTTTTATCTGACGATTTCTTTCTCCGCTTCTAATTTATGATGTGGTTTTCATATTTCATATCGAGGAATACTAATTGATTATCATTGCATTTGTATTTGTGTTCTTTATATGGTTGCTTTGAAGGACTGATTGTGATTAACATCAAGATCGATGGAGCTTGAATGTTCATGAATTAGTAGAGGTTAACTGAAAGGTAATTTGTTGTTTTACTGGGTCACATTTATTTACTATATTTAATTGTAAGAATGGTTTAAGTATGATCCATCGATTCATATCTCACTCAATTATTATTTACAGTATGTAATTGATAATTTAAATTTGTGTATTTATTATATTCAAATTTTCAGAATGGTTGTTATTGCAAACACAAGGGTACCTTCCATGATGAATGCTTAACCATAAGATATAATAGAAAACCTAAAGTTTTTAATATTATAATTAGCTTTTCTTATAGGATAACTGAAGAAGGGTTAATTGGGAGAACATGATTACACCTTGTAGATCAAAAGCTAATGTACAAGGATCTACTATTTTTTTCTTAAAGTGGTTGGTGCCAAGGATAAAGTAAAGAATGCACTAAACCAATAGCCATGAAAGGAAGACCAACTCCTATCCCTACTTATAGATTGTATATTGCTTAGTGAATAACAATTAACAATTTGTGATTATTGATTCTTTCAGGATTTCTAAAAAAAAAAAATGAAGGGAAGTAATGATAATGAAGAACATTGAATGGTTTGTGAATAATTAGCCCATTATTTTTGTGGGTTGTATACGATGATGAAAATTGGTATAGATTTGTGTCGGTTCTTTCATGCTCTTGAGGCTCCTCATATCGAACAATACAACAATTTTAAACTTGAAATTATTTTGGAAATATGTAGTATTAGTTTTTTCATTCATTCTTTATACGTTGTGTGAATTAAAATGCATTTGGAAGAGAACATATGGTGTAGAAATAGCAACTTACTTTCATTGTTTGTTTATTACTCTTAGGTCGTGCTTAGCATGGCTGGGAATCCCAAACTATTATGTGTGTATGTATGTGTGTGTGTCTATATATATATATATATATATATATATATATATATATATATATATATATATATATCGCGAAGGGCCCCATTTCTTAGTTTGCGTGGGTCTCAAATTGTCTTGGACCGACCCTGCATACTACTCTATACTACCGTTGAGGGGACATGGAGGTGTCCGACCCAAATCGCCGACGGTTAATGAGGTTAGTGTTTCGTTAAGTTTCCTTTATTAAAAGAAAGTGTTTTTTGGTTTAAAGTTGGTTTATGAGGGTAAAAACTAATAAAATGAACCTTGAACATATACATGAGTTTAGGGGTCATTTTGACACACTTTGACTGCATAAATTGTAACTTATGGACTTTTTAAGCTAAACTAACCCTAAAATCTAGGGCTCTCTCCCTGAACTTGGCGGTGATTTTCACCACTGACTTTATGGTCTGCCGCAGACCCTGTAACTCTCTGACTAACTGTTGCCCCTCAATCACCGGTGCAAACTCGGCCTTGAACCTGGACGAGAAATCGCTACATGTCATCGCGTCCAATGCGGCATCATCCCCAATAGCATGACCAACCTCCTCCCACCAATCTCGCGCTTTGTCCTTCAGGAGACAGGAGGCGATTCGAACCTTGTCCCCATTGGGACACCGGATAGAACAAAAATCGTTGGCAACATCAGCCAACCATCTGCTGCTAGCAATGGGGTCCCTAGCCCGATGGTAATCTGGAGCTCCACAAGCTCTGAACTCCCAGAATGTCAATGTACGCGCTCCCATCATGACTATCATCTCATTGCGGAAAACTCCCAGCCTCTCATCCAAAATCTCCAGTATGCCCTCCTCGACCGTGCCAAAGATCACAGGAGTCCGGTCTAGAATACTGCGCGTAATCTCAGTTGATACAAACTCCTTCATCCACTCCTCGAGTTGTTTGGGTCCTGAACCCGAGCCTGATCCCTCGTCGGCACCTAAACCGCCTAGTTGTCTCTCCTACAACGTCACCATGCTAAAAACACATCATAACAACCATCAAAATACACATCACTGCTGAGGGATTACACACACTACAAGTTTCATGGTTTTATCTCGGCCCTTCTTGAATCGAGTATGGATCCTATGCTTTCAGTAGTACGGGCCCATACTACCTTCCACATCTATCCGTACTTTCCTCAAGAATTGCCTCGACTCCACCAAGTCCCTTACTACTACTATTACTGCTCCCAACATTACTCTCCTCCTAGGCTTGCCCTAGGGTAACCTCAAACCCGCACGCAGTCCTCAACTACTGAAGGTACCTTCGTAATGCCAATTAGTCACTACCTAAATACCATCACATGTGGAGAGGCTCAGATAATCCTTCGAGTAAAGGACTCGTCCCTACAATGGTTAGACTCAGACAAGAGTTGCGCAATAGGGCCAAATCCAGCACTCTGAGATTATTTAACCCTGATCACACGTGACTTAGCGTATTAACCTAATGGCTAACTCCCATCACTCAGTTCCCGTAAAGCACAAAGCAAGTAGCATTCGGACAAAAGGTAAATCTAACCATAACATACACAAGCAATCATATTCACAAATCAAGAATCAACACTAGCATGCGATATATGCTCATAGAATCAGGCATAACCTAATCAAGTTATCCTATCACTGTCTAATCAGTACTAGCATGCAGCTCAATAAACACATATAACAAGCATATAAGTCATCCTTCCTAGATCCTTCGCCTTAAACTAGCATGATGATCACATGATCATATCATAACATAAACTTGTATGGGTAATTTGGGAGAACTTACTTGAGCTCGGCTGATTGCATGCATCACCCGCTTTTCTCTTTTCAAAGTTTTTTTTTCACTCTCCAAAGTTCTTTTCTTTTCTAAAGGTTCTTTTCCTTTTTCCCAAATTCTTTTATAAAAATGACTCTTTTTAAAAAAAATTCTCATACAAAGTCCTCAGTTTGAGTTCGGACACACCTAAGAGTGCACCCGAATCCCTCAAACCA